AAGACTAAGACTCAAGGGGAATACACAAGCAGGCATGTGGTCTGGCTGGTGACCACATTGGTCACCAATAAGAGGAAGTGGGGGAAAAACAGCACTGAAGTTGTGAGCTGGGTCCAACCTTCTTCAATAGACTCCTGTGAACCTGGGTTGAGACTTGGTTGGCCAGCAGTATGTCAAGGCCCAGGGACTCCTAGGCCCAGAGACAGTGACATGACCACAGAGGACTAGAGCAGAGAGTGAAGCGTCCAGCAGATATGAAGTGAGGAGAGATGCACAAGAACACCCATACTTGCGGATAGTACCCACTTGACCTGACTTCAAGGGCTGGATGATCAGAACTCAACTAGAAGAAAGAAGAGAAAAACAAAGAGTAATCCACTACAATTTGATGAACTTGACCTATACTTATGGATGTAGTAGCTCAAAAGAGGGAACTAATCTTTACAGCGAGGATCATTCCCACCCCGTCGGTACATAGGGTTGATAGGGATGGGCAACTTAGACATTGTCTAACCAAAATGGAGGGGCTACAAAGGCAAGAAGTGACTAGATTACAAGCTTTCAAGACGGACCCTAGTTCCAGAGGGGGTGGGGGAAGGTAGAATCTCCACTGAGTGGTTTCCAATCTGTTGGGACAGGGCTGATGAAAAGAGACGGGGATAGGACTCTTGTGGTACAATAGTGAATAATTGCTACCAGGACTGACTGTGAGGGTCAGAAATGTAAAGGTAGATGTTTTGTAACAAAAGAAGGGGAATGGTTGACTATGCAGTCCAGGAGTGGAGGTCCCTAGAATCATCAAAGGAGAAGAGCGGAGCGCAGGACCCTATCCAGAGAAGCAATGACACCAGATATGGAGGCAGAGACAATGACATGGATAGATAGAGCGGCTGGGGACTCTGGACTCAGGGAGGGAGAGAGGCTGTGTGCTGACAGCCAGGGTGCAGACTTGTGGGGTGTACCCTTTGGTTGTATGACGATGCATGGAGGGGATTGTAATCATCGCAATGAAATGACATAGGATAGGATGAACATAAACCTGGTGTTCTCCCACATAAACTATCACATAATTCACA